AAGCCCATGAAAGGCGTTATTATTAAAAGAATTGAATTGTCTAGGAGACATCACTCCTGGGCCCCTTCAGCCTGGTTTCAGCCTGGATCTTCGGGTCGTCTGCGCGTGGTGGCTTCTGCAGTCACCCCCATGAATGGAACGGTGCTCCTTATATACCATCCAGGTGATGGAAGCGCCTCCCACATTGAGGACCTTAATTGATAGTTAGTAAATCACATGACACGCACAGGACTGTGACAACAGGGCCATCACACAGCTGCTTCAACGAATGCTCTTTTACCATCTCTCCGACTTGGAAGGACTTATTGTTTTTAACGATGGGGGTGACTCACCCGGAACAATGCTTCGGTGGCGGCTTTCGCTTTTGAAGTTTGTTGAGGGAACAACTTGTGAATTTAGTTCCTCCACCTTCTCTTTCTCAGCTGGCTTTTTGGCGGAAAGTCATTGCCGTATTTTCCATAAACCGTCCGAAAATGCCGCTCCACATTTCCCTTCTTTGGTATTGCGATGACAGCCGGGCAGATGAGGCAAAACACACTTCGAAAAAGACATTGTGAAAAAAAAGGTCCACCTCCCATTCCGTATAAAGTGATATGTTTTTGCCTTCTTACTTGGTCCAACTTTCTCACTCATTTTGATCAGCATATGTTTTAGCAAGGGCTTAAAATCGTAATTTATTTTGCTGCGCTAGCAACGTCTTCATTTTTTTATGGGCGGTTGGCAAACAACTTATGATGATGGCATTAATCCCCATCTACTGGAAAGGATTGTGGATCGGGATGCTACATATATATTCTCCCTCCCAAAAATTCAGCTGTCATCTGAATGGTTGCTGTATGTCAATCAAGTAATATGATGTTTGATAGGCTGACAATTTTTTTTTTTTTTTTTTAACATCAGCTGCGATTGATCAGTTTCTGCCTCGAGCTTATGAGCACCCCTGTTCTAGACACTAACAGGTACCATAAAATTGTACAAAATCTGTGAGGGACGACGGAGTCCCTGCTGGAAATGCCATGAAAGAGGTGTATGGAGCCTCGTGCTGGAAGCCCGTTGAAAGGCTGTTAACATCGTTTTAACTGGGTGACTGGGAATAAAAATACCAGTAGCTATTTTTTTCCATATAACACAGTAGAGTGTAACTAGTAAACCTTTTGTGGATACAAAGGCAAGAACCCCCGCTTGATGTCTTTGTGTTTTTTGTCTTTGTTATGATGTAAAGCACTTTTAAATTGAATTGAAGGGGGAATAACATTTCATAGATATCATAGCATACAACCCAGGTGATAGAATAAAAAAATATCTCCTCACAGTCAGTTCCATTCACCTAACATAACCACTCAACTGTATTCACCTCTGGAAAAACAGAAGCTTTTGAAAAATGTGGATTACTTGAACATTCTTCCCTATTACACATCACTTAGCCTGGCTTTGGCTGGATTCAAGGCTAGCCCCAAACCCATCTTGCAGAAGGGGACACATTAATGAGGCAAACACCAGGGAGTTCTGCAACAAAACAAGTCCAACATCCCCACTGAGCCTCTGGTCATCTGGCTGCCTTTAAACTTTAAGAGGCAATTATGCTAAGTGGAGTCACAGAGGCGATAACCTGAGGCTGCTGACTGACTGTGAACGTGAAAGATACGGTCAACAGCCATTATTTTTTATTAGAGCTCCCCACATACAGGTGGCAATGGGCCAGACACTGATGCGCCACAGCTCAGAACCTTGAACAGCGTCCACAGAGAAAAAAAAAAAGAGTAAGAAAATACATAATTCTGTTTCAATCTGCTTTCAGGGTGGGCTCTGTTCTGCTTTCACAGAAGGAAAGGCTAATTGTTGAGGTCAGGAACATTTTGAGCCAAGCAGCATAAAAGAAGTTATATCTCTATATGCTCTGCACAGTAGAGATGTCTACTACAGATTCAACGTGAAGAAACATTTGAACCTGCCTCAGTATTTCTGATATATATAACCACAAGTTTACACAATGAAGTAACCAATTTCATTGTGTTAACCTGAAACTAATTTAATGTCAGTCCTGCAGTAATACCATCATGGAGAACCACTGTATGTGACATGAGATGACAAATGTATGAATGAGTCAGCAGAGCAGAAACTGAGAAAAAAGACAAAAACCACCAATTTCTTAGAAAAGTTTTTTTTTTTTTTTGCCAAATATACTTGCTGAAGTCATGACGGAATCACTGCATGCTTTAAATGTCAATTTTGGATATTTAAAACAATAAACTTTGTGTTTAAATCAGCTTGCTTACAGAATAAATCTGAGCCGTTTCATAAATGTGAAACTTTTGATTTGGTTTTGGCAAATCAACTTCAAAGCCAGAACCACTGCTGTATCCAAACAAAACAAATACAGAAAAAATGACCCATTTTCAACTACTTCATTATACAACCCTAGAAAAAATTATAAGTCAATTAAGTTCAAGCTCCTGCTGTCTGAATGTCCTACCCCACATTTCTTTCAGAAAGTCCTGCCTGTTATTGCTACTGAGCTGATCCAAATAGTAAACTCATCGCTTACATCAGGTGTTTTCCCCCAGGCTTTGAAAACAGCAGTCATCAAACCACTGTTAAAAAAGAACAACCTGGACAAATCACTATTGCAGAATTACAGGCCGACCTCTGACCTCCCATTCATCAGCAAAGTTATTGAAAAAACTGTGTGTAAACAATTAAATAGTTTCCTCATGATGACAAACTGCTTTGACTCTTTCCAATCTGGTTTTCGTGTTCACCACAGCACGGAGACTGCCGTCGTAAAAGTATTCAATGATATCCATATAAATACGGACTGTGGGAGAACCACAGTGCTGGTTCTGTTGGACCTCAGTGCAGCTTTTGACACTGTCGACCATGATATATTACTGAATCGACTTGAAAGTTGGGTCGGACTCTCCAGTTCGGTGCTCGACTGGTTTGAATCTTACTTAAAGAACAGGGATTTCTTTGTTTCAATTGGAAACTTCTCATCAAAGAGGGCAAAGGTCACATGTGGGGTACCCCAAGGTTCAATCTTAGGACCCCTCTTATTTAATATTTATATTCTCCCACTAGCTCAGGTTATAACAGGAAATAATATTAGCTACCATAACTATGTGGATGACACACAGCTCTACACTATGATGTCACCAGTTGACTCTGAACCCATCCAATCACTGAATAAATGTTTAGAACAGATAAATGTGTGGATGTGTCAAAACTTTCTCCAGCTGAACAAAATCAAAACTGAAGTCATTATTTTTGGACCTAAAGAGGAACGATCTAGAGTCAATGCACAGCTTCAGTTATTACAACTAAAACTAGCGATCAGGCCTGAAACCTGGGAGTAGTGATGGACTCGGACTTGAACCTTGCGAGGCACATAAAGACAATTACAAAGTCGGCCTTCTATCACCTGAAGAACATCTCCAGGATTAGAGGACTAATGTCTCAGCCAGATCTAGAGAAACTCATCCATGCATTTATTTTTAGTCGCATTGATTATTACAACAGCGTTAGGCCTGTCGTGATAAACGATAAGTCAATTAATCGCACGATAAGTTAAAACTATCGACCTCATTTTTAATTAAGGCTATATCGTGTCATCTCTTACTGTTGATGACACTGAATGAAAAAAGGCTCAACTCCGGTGCTCTCCACTGACCCTCCCTTCCTTATTTCCTTAGTGTAATGCCCAGCGCGCGCTGCACCATCTGATGTCGCGGATTGTCGGCTCATTATCAAAACCTGAGAGACACATTAGCCGACAGAAATCCTAGCTATAACGGTTCGATCGAACCGCGTTGTGTCCAACAATGGACACAAAATAATAAGCCTAGTTCACTAATATTGAAACGAGGCATTAATCAATTCCTTACTACAATCTACCTGCAATGCATGTGGCTAGTGTCAGTACTGACAGAATGACAATCATTATAACCTATTTATGTCACGTTAACGAAGAACTGCTGAAAAGTTACCGGGTTTTCTGGTAGAAATTTCGCTCCAACTCCTCCCCTAGTTATTTATATTTTCTTTGCACGAACTGTTGAATAAACATTCATGTTTGTGTCCGATGTCTGCTGGACTTCGGGTTGCGCCGTGTCAACTGTTTCGGGATTCCCCCCGTATTTCCCTCAGAAAGCACGAGGAGAATCCTGCTTGATCCAAAACACATCAACTGCTTTAGAGTTACACCGTCGAGGAGTTTTGCAGGTATTAACATTTTACCGCTCAGCGGTAACCGCTGTTACCTTCCTAATGAGAGGCGGCACTTGTCATACATTTCTAAAAAGAAAAAAAAAGGTTGTGTACCGCTGCATAGTGCCTCGTTTATTATATTAGCCATGTTAGTGCTGGTAGATCGTGTTTTAGACAGATTCTTTTAACATATGTTTTAGTGACATGCTGCCCTGTAATGTTTTATATCTCCCAGCTCTTGCTTGAAATGTGTGGTAAGAATATGTGAAAAACCATTAAGTTTTATAATGACTGAAATGTAAGTAGGCTATGTCAAATGAAAGCTTTGAATTATAACCTCACTAGTTATTTTAATTAATTTTAATTAATGTATTTTTTAATTTAGTATTTTAGCTAGCTACAGAAAACTAAAAACTATAGTTTAAATAATAGTTAAAATATTGTTGTCTCTGCCAAACAGTCATGGAGTCTAAATACCAGGCTCTTATTTTGTGTAGAGCCAAAATGAAGAGAAAAGGGAAAATCTCCCAGTTCTTCTTAAAGAGGCAAAAACCAGGACCAGACAGAACCCTGCAGCAGTGACCAGGACCAGACAGAACCCTGCAGCAGTGACCAGGACCAGACAGAACCCTGCAGCAGTGACCAGGACCAGACAGAACCCTGCAGCAGTGACCAGGACCAGACAGAACCCTGCAGCAGTGACCAGGACCAGACAGAACCATGCAGCAGTGACCAGGACCAGACAGAACCCTGCAGCAGTGACCAGGACCAGACAGAACTCTGCAGCAGTGACCAACCTGAAGAATCCAGCCAGGAGACTCCAGGCCCAAGTGTATCACCAGCGGGTTAGAGGCTGTGACAGAGAGTTATTAAGTATTAAAATCCAATAAGCCTAATTCTAAAGGTTAGCATGATGCTTTTTGCATTTTTTTATTGTGTCTGTTTATGCATTTCCAATTAAGTTCCAGAGAGAGATGAGGGTGATAGAGATTCAGAGTCAGACTCTGGGGAGGAAGACAGTGAAGCAGGAGGAAATGGCACTGAACTGCCCCCACCCAGCACAACCTATTGCACACCAGAAGCACCAGTTTATTTATTTATTTTTGAGAATTTGTTTTTGGTGATATTCTGGGCTCTGAATTTACATTTACATGTTCACTGTTCCATAGTGCCATTTAACGTCTTGTTTGGTCATGGCAAATCTTAGTTAAATAAACCATTTTAATTTGAGTGTGTGTGAGAAAATATTTGTTTCCTTTTGTTCATCATTTGTATATGGACCCCTCTGATAAAGCCTTGCTCACCCTTTGGCCACCCCTTGAAAAAAAGTCTAGCTCCGCCACTGACCGTAACACACAAGTGACAATCTCAGAACGAAGAACGTTCTAAGATTGTCGTTCGGGGTAAAAAAATCCTGTAGTTTGAACTATTGCATCAGGCAGTCGGATTCTTCTCTATTTAAATCTAATTATCACTGAAGGGCAATAAACTGACTTCATAATCTGCACTCTTTTGGTTGAATGAAGTGTTTATTTCCACTTTGGCTTTATGTTGTTTAATTTTTATTCAAGTACATTTATTGTTAATGGAGACTAAGAATCTATTTTATTTTTGGTTGTTTTTATTTATTTTGTGTATCAGTGCCAGTGTTAAGTGTCTTTTGAAAGTAAAGTGTTTCCTGCCTCTTGGCAGGAAATCGCATGTATTATTATGTAATTTCCATTAAATCAATGTAAAAAGGTCTTCAAACAATATTATCGTTTATTGCAATAATTTTGAGACAATTTATCGGCCAGCAAAATCTGTTATCGTGACAGGCCTAAAAAGCGTCTTCACAGGCCTGTCCAACAAATCAATCCTCCAGCTGCAGCTGATCCAGAACGCTGCTGCTCGCATTCTCACTAAAACCAGGAAGATAGAGCACATAACACCTCTTTTAAAGTCCCTCCACTGGCTCCCTGTAGCTCAAAGAATAGATTTTAAAATACTGTTGTTAATTTATAAATCACTGAACGGTTTAGCACCACAATACATCAAAGATCTGCGGTTGTTGTATCAACCTTCCAGACCTCTCAGGTCTTCTGGTTCTGGACTGCTTTGCATCTCCAGAACCAGAACCAAGAGAGGAGAAGCAGCTTTCAGCATCTATGCACCAAAAATTTGGAACAAACTTCCAGAAAACTGTAAAACAGCAGAAACCCTGACTTCCTTCAAATCTCAACTAAAAACACACCTGTTTAGAATTGTTGAAATGTAATATGTAACAAATTTATTATATGCATGACTTTGTGTTCTTGTTTTTATGATGTAAAGCACTCTGAAATGCCTTGCTGCTGAAATGTGCTATACAAATAAAATTTGATTTGATTTGAAATAAGTTGCACATTGAAAGTAAACAGAAGGCTTATTAATATGATTCAATACACACCGATAACAGATGCTACAAAGAAAGATACTTTGGAGATGACAATATCCAGCATAAAGATATTGGTGAAAAGAAAACAACAGCAGGACTACTTATATGATCAGTTTCGCTAAGTGAGTTGCAGAGCTTTTAGCATGCCTCTGGCACAACGAGCGAGGTCTGCCTGGCCTTGGACTGCACTAGTGTGGCTCTGCTTAAAGTGTGATATGATGGTGATGAGATGGTGAGCACCATGCCTTCACCTACTAACTGCATCAATAACACCTAAAATAAAATTATTATTTACGTTGGGTTTCCTTAGGGCTGAAAGAAAACATTGTTGAACATATTACATTTATTGTTTTCTTCCTCTTATTTGAGGGAATATCATGCCGTTTTCAGGACTGCTGAGAAACCCTCCAGTGTGTTCCATGGAGTATTCCCACAAGAGTTCAGGGTTCTTAGATGACTCCATTACAAAACAGAAGCTCCCAGCCTATTTGGAAAATGGATCAAAATCTGAATATCTATAAAAATATATATTTTTAGATAAGTCAAGTACCTGCTGACAGTATTGATGTGACATTCATGAACAATCCGATTTTGAATGACTCGATTTTTTTTGTGTGTGTGTGTGACTTAGCTTGGTTATGATGCTCTGCACACAATTTTAATAATTCATTTGGAAAATAAATACAGTACAAAATACAACTAATAGAAATTAGTAGATAATTTTTATGTTAAATGGTACAGTATAGGATTTTTGTTTCTACCCAAGCAACTTAAGTCTATCTTTTTTTAAAATTATGATTCTAAATTACAAATAGTCCCAACATGTTATTAATGGACACAACACTTGCAGTTAAGAACAATATAGGTATTTGACATTTATATTTTAAAATGTTGCATTTTATGAAAATACATAACTATTCTTTCTGCAAGAAAATACATTGTAGTTACATTTTTAATTTTAATTTACTAAGTAATGTAAATGAATATTCCCAAGAACAAGTTAGAGGAGAAAAGATGAGTAAGAATTTTCAGAACTGGTTTCTTTTACAATCTCGTTTTCTGAGCGCCAACATTCAAATGTCCATATCTTTACTTATTAATTATTTATTTTTTGATGTCCAGATTTCGCTTAGAATCCAAATCGGCAAGTAACTCAAAACATCTCCGAGTAGACTTGGAGGTGTGCCATACACGCAAATACACCACTGAACGAAGAAAAATTATGGTATTCGTCGTTCAAACTGCAGTGAGTGTTTTTTTTTTTTTTTTTTTCATAGGGAAGCTAAAGGAGCAGTCAGTAAAATGTCTCCAAGGACAACCTACCGTGTTTCAGTCCCACCTCGGTGAACAGGAAGCGGTTAGAGGACTGCTAGATGTCTATTATGTAAACTGGAACTACATTTTGACAGACAGGGCTCCGTGTTATTCAGCCACCCTCTAAATACCGGAAGTAACTAAGGCAGCTCTGGGCCCTGCTAAAGAATTTCAAAATAAAACTGTGAAAGTTCCTTAGAGAGACCCAGACATAAAAAAAGACATCCAGACTGTTGGTCTTAGTAGGTGTCAAAGAAATAACATTTATTCTAACTGCACATGATTAAAGATTTTCACCACTAAATTAGATTTAAAAGCTATTTTAGTTGCTGCAGATATACATAGGCCTTTTGGTACTTCTAAAATACTTTATTACAGAAATTAACAGTCACATCCTCTTGTCTTGACAATACTTTACCAAGAATAGGATGAGCTGCTGATCAATAAAAACCTGGAAAAAATAGACTAAATTTTAAATTTTGTCTATTTGATCGATCTAAGACAAAATGAAGGTTCAAGTTTTATGAATGACACAGTGTAGAACTGACCATTACCCCATCTACTACTTTAAGCCCAAAATTTACAATGGAACCAAAGTCCCTGAACATTGCAAAGTCTCAAGATTTAATAACACAAATAATAAAGCTGTGTGCACTTTTATTACTAGCCCTACTTTATCATTTTCTCTCCTAAAGCAGGATCCCTGGGGTACAGTTCTTCCTCTTCTGTCAGCATTTATTTCCCGTGGACCTTCCACCATCGGAATTCTCTGCATTTTGCTTTTGCCTGGGTTTCCTAGTATTTCAGCACAAATTTACAGCTTCTTTACCATAGCCTGTATTCTTCTACAGCCTAAAGTAGATTAGGTGTTTTGCACACTGTGAGAAATTAGCAGAGATAAAGTTAAACACAGAGGAAAAACGACCGGTGTTAGTTAGCTTCTGAAATAATGGAGAGAGGATAATGTATTTTGATCTGTGACAGTACCTGCTGTGGATTACAAGTTTAAACGAAAAAAAAAAAAAAAAAAAAAAAAACTTCCTTAATCTGCAGTAAGGAAGTTTAATGGCTTTTGTTTTTAATGCAGATAATTTGTTTCTATGGAATAATCTGGTCATTCATGGATGCATTTCTTTCTATTTATAGTAGGAGCAAAATGTTAATATGTAACTGTGGGAAATTCTTCTGATGTTTGGGATATTCTGCAAAATATGTTTGGTTATATTATGATCATTAAGCAGAGAAATGAATTACCAGTAATGACCACTTCATCATGGCTCCTTTTAGTGTCTTGTCTTGAGAAAGGAGTATATATAACACAACTAGATCTGTCACACAACTGGATCTGAACCAAGTTGTAAGCTGAGTTATTGGATGTATAATAAAAGAAACAGGCATAAGACCATAGACCTTTAAAGAGCCCCCAAAACAAAACAAAAATTTATATTTTCTTTCATAATCTTCTTTGCCTTTGTGACAAAGTGGTTCAGTTTGTGTTCACCACTTGTCCCTTATTCTCATTTCTGATTAATTTAGTTTCTGTAGCTGGTCATAATGCTTAAATGTAAACATTACTTTGCAACTTTGCTTCACTTACTATCCCGGGTTTGCTTGTGTTAGCATTATGTTGGAGTTTCCATCTATTTATATGTTTAGGTTAAAATTACTACTTCTGGATTTTTGGTTAAATTTGATTATTTAGTTTCAAAGTATATTCATGGTATTTGGTTTCCTTTTTACATGATGTGACCACTGCCGAGGCTTCAAAGCGTCTGTCGAGTAATGGAGGGGGCGTTTCCGTAAAGCGCGTATCGAAGCTTGCTTCATTTAGGGGAGGAGCTGAAAACGACGACATCCGAAGCCTCGCTGCCCGGCTGTACAGGTGACTGCTTCGGGAAGTGATTCAGATTTTGGCGCGGGGTTTGACAGCTCTATGAACCCCACAGGCTCCATTCAAAATGTGGGTTGTTGTAGGCGAGTTGCGGTCAGTTGAGAGAGTGGATAGAGGTTGATAGTTTGGATAGCAGAGTTTGGAGAGTGGTTATTTAGTTTTGAGACAGTTAGTTTGGTGTTTGGAGAGCTAAGGACAGAGAGAGAGAGATAGGAGATTTAGGAGCGTGTGCGTGTCTTTTCAAAGGCTGGAGAAGTAGTGTCAAAAAAAAAAATAATAATAATTTGAAACCAAAAACTGTGGAGAAGTTGTTGTTTCTTAATAAAAATGCATGTAATCATCCAAGTTACACAAGCATTAGCCTATTCACTACCCCCTCCCGAGTTCCACCAGCACTTAACTGTCCTCTGCTTGATTAAGCCCAGGCAATTTTTCTAGAGTCACAGAAAAGCATTTTTACACAACATGCCATATCACATGACACTACTATTTTGGGAAAAAATACACACAGAGAATACATTCAAACAATATTTTGTTATACACATATGTATATGACATAATTTATGTAGACAAAAGATTTCGTCCTACACCTTTTGTGACGTCATTCCCAGAGCCATAATAGACAAAAATTCAATGCGTCACACATGTTAAGATACAACTGGCTGTGATTATACACCTGGCCAGTAGGCGGTTTCGTGTGCACATGAAGCTTCAAGAAATGAACCCTTTCTCAAACCATTTGGCTCAAGTGGTTCAATGCCTCATGATCATCTCACCATCACTACTTTTTACTCACCATTGTTTATCCCTTGTAGATCGGCAGCAGTGCAGGAATATGGGAGGGGGCGGCCCAGTATTTTCTGCTTAAATGGCTGGATGATGTCATTAATTACCTTTCTGGGTTCGACCAATTAGAGGGTTTTCTTTGAAAGAGTGCTTTTTTTTTTCTTTGAAGTAACTTTTTGAGTTATCTTCTATAACATGGTTTATTTTTCAGACCATTTCATTATGTGGATGAGTTTGTAAATTAGATTAATAATGTTCTTGTTTTTCTGTTTAGATTTGTTTGTTGATTCTTTCCTGTTTAATTGTGGATTGGTCTGGTCAACTGCAGGTGTGTTGCCAATTGGCTAAAAAAACACTGAGCTCTTGGAAGCAGGGAAGGGATGTCTGAGGCAAATGTATTGAATAAAAGGCATCAGAAGAATCTGAAACTGGTGGCTAAGGACACAAGGAAAGTTATCCCCAAAAGAGTATATTTCAACCTTGTCAAGAAAAAGTAAAGAATAAGAAAATAAATAGTTGTGGTTGGATTATTAATAAAGAAATAAATGAAGCAGATATAAATTATTGTTTAATTAGTCCTATGGTAAATGTTTCTTGTACTCCACCTTGGTTAAATGGGAAAATTGAAGTTGATTTAAGTTTATTGGAAAGAGGCAGACAAATAGGAAAGGAAGAGGTCGAAGGATATATAAGGAAAGAATATAGAGATTATATACAAATGTATACAGATGCTTCTAAAATATTAAATGACAAAATTGGAATAGCATTCATAATTCCTGATTTAAATATTAAGACAAATAAAAGGATGACAGATAGACTGACAGTATATACAGGTGAATTAATGGCTATAGAATGGAGTGAGGAATCAGGAAAGAAGAAGATATTGATTTGCTCAGATTCAAATAGTGCATTGATAAGCATTGTAGAGCAAACTTCAGAAACAAGACAAGATATTGTATTGGATATAAATCAAAAAAATGTTTAAATGAAAAAATATGGATCCAATGTTAAATTAATTTGGATTCCTGTTCACATTGGAATAATAGGAAATGAGTTGGAAGAGAAATTTGCTAAAAATGCAGTAAAAAGAGATAATGTTGAACTAAATACTAAAATTAGCAGAAACGAGGTCAAAAATATAAGTAAAACATATAGTAAAAGGAAATGGCAGGAACAATGGGATAGAGAAGAAAATGGAACATTTTATTATAATATTCAAAAAAAAGTTGGGGAATGTAGGAAAGGTAATAGGAATAAAAAAGAGGAGGATATTATATCCAGATTCAGATTTGGGCATACGGGTTTAAAAAAGTACTTTGAAAATAATTAACAAACATAGTACAGGTATGTGTACATATTGTGAAAAGTCAGAAACAATACAGCATATTTTTTTAGAATGTAATAAATATACTCAAGAAAGAGAGATGTTAGTCAGAGAGTTAAATAGGAATGAAACTAAATTGGATATTAGAAATTTGTTACAAAAATCGTCTGAAGATGTGGTATTTAACAGCATATTTAGCTTTCTTGGGAGGACAGGTATTATGGAAAGATTATAGAGGTTATACATCTGGTCCATACTCCAGTCTGGAAGGTGGCGGTAATGCACCTAAAAGTTGTTTGCCAACCGCCATAAAGCAAAAAGAAGAAGAAGAAGAAGAAGAAGATTTTTTTTTTTTTTTGATTTTTACCAAAAACATTTATTTACAATAATAATAAAACAATTTCCTTTTTTTGTTGTTTTACAATAATTTACAAAAACAAATACATTATAATAAAACATCAGTATAAATTAGTTCATTATTTTCTGAAATGATGCACAACACTTTGTCACATCCCCATAACTCTAAAAACCCCTGCACATTCCCAGTGGCTCTGTGGAAAGCAAACTCCAACTTCAGCCTCGCCTTGATGTTTACCTTCCACAGAGCCACAACATCAACTTGAGGTCCATCCTGCATCTTGTCTCTTCGAGTTATATATATAGCTAATTTTGCCTCGGCTAATAAATAATTTAAAAGCCTTGACTTAAAACTAGTCGCTTTACTATGACGTACTCCGTTAATAAATAGTGCATCGGTAAAAATCATTTTAAAAAGACTAAAAACAGTCGATAAAAAACTAAAAAAGACTATCAAACGTGTGCAATCTATAAAAACATGAAAAACACTCTCTGACAACCTACAAAATGGACACTCATTTATAAAACCAGGACTAATCGCCGATAAAAACGCGTTGGTGGCTATAGCGCCATGGAGTATCCTCCACTGGAGGTCGCCAATCTTTTTTCTAATCGGCGGTTTGTACATTGTCCTCCAGTGGATTGGTTGTCCTTTCAGTCTTTCAACCCACACGCTGACGTCCCTCTTTCGAAGCGTTCTCTTGTTTAGAATTTTCACACAGTTTTTATATAAAGTCTTTGGTGCCACTTTG